AAAATATTGTTTTCAAAGAATGGTGATCAAACTTAAACTATTGTCTCAAATGGCCGAAATGTTTTGATTCATAAGATTTACGAGAGTTTATACCATTCATTAATCTTTTGACGACATTTATACTTGATTTTATAGACCAGGTCTATAAGAATAAATATTCAAATGAAAAGATTGTTTTATACAAATGTATTCTATGCTAGGTAGGACTCACTACCCAAAGATAGAGGGATAGAATAAAACGGCATGTCCCTTCCAGCATTAGAAACAAAACTCTTCCCCAAAGAGAGAAGCCTCCTCGGTCTTGCAGGTCTAAAATTACATCTAAAACATTTCATTCTGATATCAGGCAGCATTTACTGGAAAACCCAAATTTTGAAAAAACTAATAATAGTGACAGGTTTCTGGTTTTTGGCAAAGCTCGATCGTTGATGACGTATACAAATGAAACAACAAAACATATCATACCCAGAGCCCAGAGGTGTGGTGATATGGGAGCTTAATATTCATTATTGATTGTAAAGAGGAGCAGATTTCCACATAAATGCTATTATTTTGAAAAAAATTTGCATTCCTCTCAAAGATGCTCTCAAGGCGATGTTTTAAAGCTGTGACACAGAGCACCTTAAGTTTCATAAGACACATAAATTTTGCTAAGTACAAGGGCTGCATATTACATTTTCTTGTTGTTGTTTGCCACCCCAATTGTGATTCTACTGCAAAACAAAGTTCTCCAAGTCTGAAAAGATTTGGTTCTTGATTTGAAACATTCTAATTGCCATAACAGAAATAATTAAATCATCAAAAAAGTTACAGGGTGGTCAATGGCAGCGCCAGTCACTTGGCTCTGGGGGGGGGGGACGAAAAATGTGTATCTCCCCAAGTCCCCCCAGTTGCGGGGCTACTGAGGGTGGTAGTTTAAAGCATGGAATGAAAGCAGCAGCTTTGAACATCACTTCCAAAAATTGGACAAATCATATTGTGGTCAAAAGTGCTAATCAAGTAACAAGGGAAAAGGATGGACAATCATGAGACCATGGGAAATTGATGTTAACAGAAAACTGCAAAAACACATGTTTGCGCATGTGATGAAAAGCATGCACAATTTAACTTGCGTGTGTGCAGGCTTATGTGGGTGCGATCGCACGTGCTAAACAAAAAGGACTGTATATACGACAAAGCATGAACTGCACTGGTCATATATTATCTAACACCAGCGGCTAATTTAGGGACTGCAGGGACTGGGACCAAAAACATCTGCAGGGCCCTTGTTTTTTAAAAATCTTTATTTTTATCTTTTTGATTACTGTAAGTGCAATGACTAGGGCTATGGCCCCTCTAGACCCCTAAAACTGCGACTGTCAAACACTCAAAAAAAATCTTCTTATTCCTTTTACTGTTTATGATACTCAACAGAATCAAGAGCCATGTAAACATATTGCACAGGTTTGACAAACGAGTAATGGTGACCACATTGTAAACAACAAGGTGATACATGTTGAAATCACTTTTGTGAAGCCATTAGGCATCCTTTTGTAGTTTAAAACCAATCAAACCAATTTTCAAACTTTTGGCAACACTTTTAATTAAAGATTGAAAAACTTAATTTTTAGTAAAAAATGAAAAAGATTTAAAGTAAAAAATTTTAACTTTTTATTGGACAGTCCTGCAGCTTTGAAACCTTTGTGAGACTTGCTAGAAGTTTGCCAGAAAGTTGTGTAGCAGGTACTGTTGATCAGGACATGATAAGTTCAGAAAAAAATTTGCAAGATCACATTTAGGTGCTGGAGTACCAACATGATCATTAATGGCATTGTATTTGATGGAAAGTGGCATATTTTAAGCCATTTTATTATACCTACTCTTTTGCAGCTATTAAAGCACTTGAGTGAACCTGCTTATCGCAGGAATTTTGGTATTTTCATTTAATGAGAGGAAGAAATGTATTTGTTTCCATTACAACATAGCAATCGGTTGGAAAAAATGGACTTGGGCGATTTTGACACATTTTATTGATTGAATTCTGCTACAACATATCAAATCAAAAGGCTTTCCCATTTTTCTAAAGGCTTATCTACTCGCCACAAATTATCAAATCATTTCAAACAAACCTGGTTATTTGTTTGTGAGACTGTCCTTTGTAAAATAATTTGCCCTTGAGCTGCAAAAGAAAAAATGATGTACTGCAAATGAAAGCATTAAGGTTTAATATGGAAATCAATGTGAGACTTTAATATGAAAATATTGAGCAAAATGCTTTAGAGCCATATTCAGAATCAGCATTTAAAGGCATTGAGTCATGGTAAATAGGCCTTCTCTATAGGGGGTCATTTGGTTTCAGCGTGATAGCTGCTGTTTGACATGATATTGGCATCCGTTGTTGACAACTTGTTATTGATGGAAACTGTTTTGTTAATCAGTACGAGGTGAGTTCATGTGACCAGTTCAAGGTCAACCAATAGCATCGCAGTCATGGAAATCGTGACTCAGCGAATTTTGGCACTTTGGGTATACCCAATCCATTTTATCATGACTCAATGCCTTTAAGTTAAAGGAACACAGATTACAAAACTTGTTATTTCTGATGACCAGCTTTTTCTTCAAACTTAAACTAGAAAAGAGGGTAAAAGGACAAAAAAGGGACAATGGTTGCTTCAGAAAGAAAATGTAATCTTTTTGTACTTGATGCCCAGTTTGGAGAGTGTGATTGATCTTGACAAGATCTTGGGTGTGCCCACCAGACTGGAAACTTTGTTGTACCTTCGCAATGATTTCAGGTGTGCAGTCGCAAATTTTTCAATGCCCACACAAGAAACAAAGTTTCCAGTCAGGGCACCAGCACTATCAACTGTTCCAAACCAAAATCTAATGTGCCCCCCCCC